CATTAAACTGATTGGTCTGTAGTTTCCTATATCACCTTTGTCTCCCTTCTTATGTATCAGTGTGATTGTCGATTTAGTCCAGTCTTCTGGGATGGTTTCCGTTTCGAGGATTTCGTTGAACAGATCTGTAAGTATTGGCGCTATCACAGGTAACGTTGCTTTTAGCAGTTCATTTGTGATTAGATCTGATCCGGGTGCTTTATCTAGTTTTTGTGTTTTAATAGATTTTATTGTTTCTGCCTTTAGAATTGGTTCAATCTCCTCTGCGTTTACTGAATTATATTCCTTTATAACTTGTTCTCCTTTACGACTTTGGTATAAATTTCGGTAATATTCTGTAGCAATTCTTAATATTTCTGGTCTTTTGCTAGTTTTTGCGCAATCTTTATTTTTCATATTAGGAATCCAGTCCTTTTTGTAGTTCATTTCTTTTAGTGCCTTCTTGATTCCTCCTGTTTTTTCGATATGTTTTCTTAGTGTTGTTAACCTTTTTCTTCTTCGTTCTTTTCTAAGTTGCTCGCTAATCTTTTTACTTATTGCTGCTATCTTTTGACAATTACTATTATTATTTTTTCTTTGTTTTATAAGTTCTTTTCTTTCTTGTAATAATTGTTTACTTTTAAATGATATCGCTGTATTACTAGTCATGTTTACTTTTTTAGTTTCTGTTTTTAACTGTTTGAGCAATCTGGTGTATTTTTCTTGAGTCGACATACGTTCTATTTTCATACTTTGGAAGGATATTTCGAGGTTGTTTAGAAGAAGATCAGCGCTACCGGTACATTCGATGCCTTTAATCTTATTTTGAAACTGTCGTGCTCTTTTATAACGTGTCCCTGATAGTTTTGCCCTAATTATTCTGTGATCTGAATTAAAATTAAAATTGCTTAAAACACACAGATCTTTAAAAACTTTTCTATTGTTTGACATAATATAGTCGATCTCATTTTTATATTGTCCATTAGGAGAAATCCATGTCCATTTCTTAGATGGTTTCTTTTTGTAAAAACTGTTTAGGATGCTTAATTTATTTTCCTTAGCAAAAGATACTAATCGTGCACCGTTTCTACTTCTATTCCCAAATCCGTTACTTCCTATAGTTTCTTCTTCTCCACTTTTTTGTTTCCCAATCTGTCCATTAAAGTCGCCCATAATTATCATGTTTCTTGATGCGCTTGCAGTGGTGTATTGGAGGTCTTCGTAAAATTTTTCGATTTTTGTTATGTCTTCTTTTCTGTTTGATTCGGTGGGCGAATACGCTTGGATTATAGACCATACTTGTTTATCCTCTCCATCTACAGGTAGTTGAATGTTGAGAAGTGCAATTCGTTCCGAAATTCCCTTAAGTTCTTGGATGTTTTTAACTAGGTTTTTTTTGATCATGAATCCGACTCCATATAATCCTGGCGTCTCTCCTATATGATGCAGTACGTATTTTCCGTGGTCTTCTATTCTTTCCCCTAGTCTTCTTACTTCACTTATACCAATTATGTCCCATTTTATTTCATTCAATGCTAATTCTAGTTCTTGTAGTTTTTCCGTGGTTCCTAGTGTTCGACAGTTTAAAGTTGCTATATGTATATCGTTGTGTTTCATTTTTCTAGTATTTTTTATCTTTAGAGGGTCGTGGTCGTTTTCCCCCACGAGGACCAGTCGGCTTGGGGGAATTTTATAGTTTCTAGATGTATTGTTTTCTATATTTTGATGTTGTGTTTTCCGGTTGCCGATAGCTAATTGTTATTGCCTGTTATCCGTTTTAAAGGAAGAGAGGGAGTTGGATCTGCCTCTCATTATATCAAAAGCATTGCGCCTATTATTTTGAGATGACGACCCGACTTGGTGTTTTTTTGCTTGTATATTTTCTGGCGGCGATGAAGATATTTCTCTCTTTCTTCTATCATTGGTTGTATTATTTTCCTTTACTATTAGCTTGTCATATTTTAGATATGCGAAATTACCTTTCATTCTTTCTTCTTTCAATTTATTTTGTAGCAATTTCCTTTTCTCCAGAACTTCTTTAGAATAATCTTCTGTGATATATATATCTTTAAGATGTTTCCGGACTTTCAATACCTCATTTTTCTTCCATAGATTGACAAAGGAAAGCAAAACCGGTCTCGGCTTTCCGTTTAGGCTTATTCTTCCGATGCGGTACATGTTGTTTATTTCAAAATCACTAAGGTTTAAATTTAACTCTTCAATAAATAACTTCTTCACCTTTTGTATAAGTCCTGACGTAGATTCTTCTTCCTCTTTTAGTCCAAAAATAATTATGTTGTTTTGCTTCTTATCTCTTTTCAAGTTTTCCATTTCTTTCTCTAGGTTTAATATCTTTTTCTTCAAGTCTTTGTTTTCTTCTATAATAGGCTTTATTTTTTCGTCCATTTTCTCCATAATCGAATTAGTTATAGACTCTTTCAGTTCCACCGTCTGTTTCTGCATTTCGACTTTCATTTTATCAAATAGAATTTGAAATTGATCTTCCATGTTTACTTTTTTAAAATTTTTTTTTAAATTTCTGCGTAGACTGGAACGCGACGTGGAACCGTACTTTTTCGCGTTGGCAACACCGATGCAGTAATGATACTGACAGTGACAGTGACACTATGACGTTTATAATAATGCTTTGTGATAAATTTCTAACCTTAATTCGGTAATTGGTTCATGTTTAATCGTAATCTGTCTTGTTTTCACGTTATTGCGCCACTGTTAACAGTTCCATAGATGCACAGCACTTGTAATTGTGTTGTTTCACTATTCTTCGTATCTAGTAGTTCGTAAATAATTATTAATCAAATTAATTTTGAGGACTGTTCTATAACGATGTTTACGCTTCAAGCACCGGAACCGGAAAAAAAAAAAATACTTGGTTATGGATGTCATTATTAATAATTAAAGATTAATCTATTAGCATTTCATCCTTGAACTTGAAGGTCAAATAGGAATAGGTTTTTTCCTTAAAACCAGTTGTCGGCTGCCATTGCTAACGACTACAGTGGGTGGATAATGATTTTAATATTATTATTTATTATTGCACATTATAATAACATGAAATAAGACTTATTTACACAGATAGATATTAAAATTATTTTTAGTTTAATAAACTTTACGGAGTAAAGCCTCAGTAAGGTTAGAGGTCAAGTCAATGATAACAAAAGTGCCAACTTTGTAAGTGCGATATCAATATGTTATCGAAGTTTCTCTTAAGTTTAAGTTTAACCACTTGACCCAGCAATGCCAATGTTTTAGGAGACCCTGCTTGAGATTCGAAGGCTCTGTATTAACTAGCGGTGCAAATGTCAATTGCTTTTATATTTGGACTGTTAAAGGAGTAATAGTGACTATATTTGTAGAAGGTCAAATAGAACATGTGTATATAGCCCGGAGTTGGAGACCTTCGTGTATCCGTAACAAATTTTATGTGACACGACTCGCAAGGTCTGCGGAGTTATGAGACATGTGCTTCATTAATTCACACTTAATTAATACAAAGTATAACGCGTAGATATGTTTTTGCATGGCCATTTTTATTTCAATTATAATAGTGATTTTCCCAAGACAATAATGGTAAATTTGAAAAATAATGTTTTTTTTGTTAAAATGAATTATATATTTTTGTAGCAATTCCTTTGTTGTGGAATGATTAACATCTGTACCTGTACTTGACGTCAGATGCCCGCTAGTCCGTAGCAACTTATAATAGCTTTCGAATTATTATAAAAAGTATCATTTTAATTATGCGGTATAAAGTATTATTTGATTATACGAAATTAAAGTACAACCATGTATATTTTACATGTCACCTCGTTTACGTACCAATTTAAGATTTTCGTAAATAACATGAAAAGGAAAACGTACAATCAATTCTACATTTAAATAGCTATAACATGCGTAACTGTAACAAGTTACGTGGT